GAGGACCAGTGGGGGCAGGGGAGGGGAGGGGAGTCTGTCCAGCGATGCACGGCCGAGAGGGGAGGGGGAATTGGGGGCTGGTGGGGGATGGGGGATGGTCCATGGGGCGCTGCACAGAGATCTATGGGGAAGCTGGGGGAGGGGGTCCCAGCAGGGGCAGGGCTGTCTCCTGCTGTAGGGCTGGTGCTGGACCCACGTGTGTGTCCGTCCCTAGTGCCTGCGACGCCCCCACCCCCCGCCCAGGACCCTGTCACTTGGGGCTGAGTTTGGGACATCAGTGCCCCTACGCCCCACCCCAGAACTGGCTGCATTTCAGGCCCAGGCCAGGGGCCCTGGAGACCCGGCCCCGTGTGATTGGAGCCAGGCACCGTTTGGAGGTTTTGCCGGCTCAGCTGCCGCCCCCCAGGTGCCTGCGGCGCCAGGAAGTGGGGACAATGGAGCCTGATTAGATCCGGGGGGGGGGGACAATTGCGGGATCCCTGCCGCAGCTGTTCGCCGCTTCGCCCTTATTGGCTGCGGCCCTCGTCGTTCGGCCAATCAGCTCGCACAATGGGCCTTGTTAGCGAGGCTGGGGGAGACTCACGTCAAGGGGCGGCTTTTTTTTGGCTTTTCTACCAAATTGTCCCATGGGGGGGGCAGTCCAATGTTAACACCCCCTGTGCCGCCCGGCACTGAGATGCGGCCACCTCTGGGGTGGGGCACAGGGACTGGTTACACAGGGACCCCTCACCCTGCCCTGGGATGCAGCCACCTCTGGGGTGGGGTGCAGGGGCTGGTTATACGGGGACCCCTCGCCCAGTGCTGGGATGCAGCCACCTCTGGGGTGGGACACAGGGGCTGGTTATACAGGGACCCCTTGCCTGGCTCTGAGATGCGGCCACCTCTGGGGTGGGGCGTCTGGGTACCAGCCCCACTCGGTCAACCCCTAGCACCAGGCATGGGGGCTCAGAGAGGAGGGCGCCCCCAGAGTTCGGAGGCTGGCGCTGCTCTCACTGCTCTCCCCTGCCCCCCCCCCCACCTCCCGCAGTGCCGGCTCGGATCACAAACATCTCCTCGGCCGTGACGGTGAACGAGGGGAGTGACGTGAGTTTGCTGTGCATGGCCACGGGCAAACCAGAGCCCACCGTGACCTGGAGACAGCTGAGAGGTAAGAGGGAGCGGGCCGGGGAGGGGGCGATGTGCAGATGGTGGGGGGGAAGGTGAGAGAGGAGGGGGAGGGGAGGAGTAGGCGGGGGATGATTGGGAGAGGGGACAATGCGGGGGGTGGATCAGGGCAGGGGGAGATGGTGGGGGATTTGCCGGGATGTGGAGGGAGGGAGGTTGGGCGGGCTGAGGAAAGAGGGGATCCGGGTGGAGCAGGGGCTGGGGGGACCTGGAGCTGTCATGGAGGAATCAGACAGGAGCTCGACCTGCTGCCCCTCACTCCCAACCTGCAGCTCGGCTGGTCGCCCCTCACTCCCGACCCACACGCCCCCTGGGCACCCCGACACCCTGCAGCTCGGCCGGTGCCCCTCACTCCCGACCCGCACGCCCCCTGGG